CGTGTGTGTGTGCGTGTTTCTGAGTCTGAGAGGGGGGAGAGAGAGAGAGACTGTGTGTGAGAGAGAGTGTGTGCTTGACAGACAGTATGTGTATGAGAGAGGATCTGTGTGAGTGTGAGAGTGTGAGAGAGTGTGAGAGTGTGACTGTGTGAGAGTGTGACTGTGAGAGTGTGAGAGTGTGAGAGTGTGACTGTGAGAGTGTGAGAGTGTGAGAGTGTGAGAGTGTGAGTGTATAGTGGGGTGGGGTCACCTGTTGTGCGACATGAACCCAAGATCCTGTTTGAGGCCGTCCTCATGGGTATCGAACTTGGCTATCAGCCTCTGTTCAGTGAGTCTGTGTTGTTGTGTCTCCTGAAGTTCACCTTGGAGGATGTTTACCTAAAGACCCAAGGCCGAATGTCCTTGACCACTGAAATGTTCCCTGACTGGGAGGGAACAAGAATGTTCCCTGTCAGATCTTTGACATGGACACTACCAATCACACATTGGGAAAACCACCCACCATGTGCACAGCAGATACTCATGTGACTCGGCCAACATCGTCTATCTCATACGCTGCAGGCAAGGATGCCCCGAAGCACGGTACATTGTTGAAACCATGTAGACACTGACAGTGGATGAATGGACACCACGCAACAATTGCCAGACAGGCACGTTCCCTCCTAGTAGGGGAACACTTGAGTGGTTGAGGACATTTGGCCCTGGATCTTCGGGTAAAGGTCCTCCAAGATGAACTTCAGAATACACGATAGTGCAGAGTCACCGAGCAGAGGCTGATAGCCAAGTTCGGTACCCTTGAGGATGGCCTCAACTGGGATCTTGGGTTCATGTCGCACTACAGGTGACCTCACCACACTATACACTCTCTCACACACACAAACTCTCTCACACAGATCCTCCCATACACACACGTGAATCTATGGGGTGAATTTGTATTTGCAGATACATTCTATTTTGTTCAAAAAGCGCACAATTTATAGACAGTCAGTCAATGTGGCACTTCATAAATTTCTATTTTAGAAACAAAACCAGCCTGACTCCAAACCAAAACACAAACAGATTCTGAACAAAGCCTCACACCTAACATGCATTGTCTGACTTAAAATGTCACCTTTTCTTTACACTGATAAAACCTTTAGTTCTCACAGGACAGTGACTTGAAATAAATTTGGGGATTTACATATACATATTAATCAATTAAAACCTTCTAACTGATTAAAGATTTAATAGCACCTTCGGTTTGTTTAATACATCCTGATCACTTGTGTGACCTTTTTGATATTTTACTTATAAATTCTGTGTTCTGTGTGCTTCTTTCTCACTTCAGCTGACATTGGGACTACACCGAAAGCCTGTGTTTTCAAAAAAACCTGATGGGCTATATCCTGGTGTTGTGTGATTTTCTGACAAAGTTACAGGGATAGACACGCAGCTCATGAATTGGACCAGGCTGCTTGCTTGCTCTCTCAGCCCTTGCTCTTTTAATGCTTACCTCACAGTATCCACACCTGTCCTTGCCTTGCCTTGCTCTCCCTATTAGCACAGTCTATCAACCAGAAAAAATGGTGGATATTGAATTTTCCTGAGAGTTTTGGGGACAAATGAACCCATTTCCCCCCACCCCCACTTTTTTTGTATAACCCTGCAATGCACTCACTCCCATGAAAAGTTGGTGTCATTTTAACATGAGTATACATTTCACCTACAGAGCTCTTCTGGCACAGTGGGCATGGAGTTTTGAAGGACTGTGCCTGAAGGTCTAGGTTCAAGTCCACTAGCCCCAGACATGACACGCCAGAATAGGCTGATTAAAAATATCTGCAGTTCACCTATTAAAATGTGCTCCTGTGTTGAGAGGTAGACTGCATGATAAATCTAAGAGCTGGTATAGTATACTCCCTGGCATATCAAAACTGCCACACTCTTTTATATTGCCTCTAACATTGGCAGAATTAGCTTTGATCATGCCCAAAAGGTTTAGCTGTTCCAGTGCTAGCAGAAAAAAAAGGAGTTCAGCTACAGAGGAATGAAGCAAGAAGCAATCAGAACAATAATCAGGAATATAATTTGCTGATCCTCAATGATACACGATTCAGATATTCAATGTGTGACGATGCTGTGGCTTTAAGAGGTTATTTCGTACTATTTTTTTGAAGAGTGGTTGTAAGGCAGAGGTCCCGAGCAGTCTACCAAAACCACTGGAGTAATTAGCTTGTGAGGTCTTGGGTTCTTTTAAGTTGGAACAATAGAAGCAGACTGGATGGGTATGGCCAGCTCTCGCAGACCAGGATTTCTACTTTTTGTTTCAGTGTTTAGGTTCAGCTTTAAGCAGTTGCTGTTTTGGTCTTGAAGCAGAAGCTATCTTTTCCCTGTCCCTAGTTACAGCTAGGTTTCTCTCTGCTGCTGGTCTACCTGTGAGACAAATCTACTTTTCTGAATCTGCCTTTTTGTCAAAGAGTGTGTTTATGGATGTTACCGTATTGGAACAGTTAATTAGTAATTATTCTGTTAAGTTTTCCAATAGAGTTAATTTTCTTTCTTTGGTTGTATTATAATTTTAGTGTTTAAATAAATTGTGTTTTGCTCAACGCTGAGCAGTTTGACCAATCAAATTGCATCCGGAACACAGCACATTACAACAGCCTTTAAAAATAAGAAAAAGTTAGGGTCTAGGCTACGTTTCTTAAAATATTTTGGGGGGGCGGGGTCTGGCCTGGTCCATAACAAACGTGAAATAGTAAGAGTCCACTGTATAATGTACTTCAAAGTTTCTACAGTAACATTTTTTGAAAAATCACGGAAAGAACTTCAAAAACTTAACTTGAGCCCTTGAGCCTCCTCCTTTATTTCTAAACAGTCTATCAAAACTTTCAAAATAGTCTAATCAACTTGAGAGGTAGTCAATAAAAACACAAGTTTTCAACAAATACCTTTTTAGGTCTATAAACAGAGATAGAGGGCAATTTGTTAATATGACCTTTACCAATCCACATCTAAATAATGTTATAACTGAAGAAAAATTTAAATTTCACTGTGAAGAAATTCATTTTGATCCAGAATCTATATTAGATTAAGCTTTTTACACTGACAATTATAGGTGAACTCAAATTATCAGGCACATGAACTTAAAAGGGTATGCTACTGCCAACATCATGACAATGTTATAAAGGAATGTGAAGGCTCCACTTTATTTTGTTGCTGTCCTTGTAATATCCATGAGACAAAAGAGAGCAAGTCACTGTTTACAGTTGAATCATTGCCAGGCATTCTTCTACAATGTTTTTTTAACTAGAAAATGCCTCCAAAATTGTTGGTATTAATGCTGTGTTTATAAAGCATAATTTATGAAATCACAGAGCCTGAAGATCACTACCCTGAAAATCCTTAGGTCAACAGTATAGAAATTTCACTACCCTACCATTGTATACCTTGCTTGGAAATTAAGAATGCAGCTCTAAAATGTCAGAAAATTCCAAGATTCAAAACTTAAGAAGTAATGAGATGAGGTTCACAGAATCGAATGCCTTTCCAGCAGAGGAAAGAAGACTGGAAAAGGACATAAGGAGAATTTTCTCCTCATAAAATAGTGGGTTTTTGGCATAAATCCCAGTCAAAATAACGAGTATTGTTTTAATATAGAAAGGAACTAAATAGGAAGACAAAACAACAGTTTTAGTTTTGGATGGTTTTAGTAACCAGTACATTAGCCATATGCCATGTTCAAGAGTTGACAGCGCAGAGCTTGACTAACTACATTTTTGAATCAGTTATTAGACATGTGGTCTTAATATGCATTCTCACAGTAGGCATATGTACTGTAATTTTCTTGTGCATTTAATATTAACACTATAAGATGAACTCATACTGTGTGAATTCTCTTTGTTGTATTTGCTTTACCTCTTTGGTTACTGCTAAAATTATATGCAACATGGAAGAATAAGCTGGAATTCAGCACCATGGAAACACTAACAGCATTCATTAGAACTTTCACCTTCAGCAGGCCCATAAGACAACTTGTCTGAGCAAGTGAGATCAGCAGCCTGTCACACATCTCACTCAATTATCTTTTCTAATAGTAGGTGGAGTGGAGATGGGAACTGTCATTGTGTTCCAGGACAGCAGAAGAAAGTAAACCCGATTAATAATACACAACAATAACAGGGCCTAACACTATGGAGAGCCAGCGGCATCCAATCACACTCTGGATGTAAAAAGAACAGATCTGTTCGCGAGTGTCAATGTCTCCAGCAATCACTCTGACAAACTCAAAGTACTGCTTGCAACTGCTGAATAAATGACTAGAAATGTCTGAATTCACGTTGGAAATTTAAAATTTGCTGAAAGAGAAAGAGAGAAAGGTATCACACCAAGTGGTGCTGAAATGACTCTAAAGCATCTTGGGCTCTGACGAAGAGTCATCTAACCTCAGAATGTTAGCTTGCTCTCTCTCCATGGATGCTGCCTGATCCGCTGTGATTTCCAGCATTTTTGTTTGCAGTACAGTTTCCGGCATCTGCAGTAATTTACTCCTCTAAAGCACCTCCATTTAAGTGGAAACTGTGGATAATCAAAATAACTCTGTGCTATAGAATAGACCAAATAATCTCTTTCTATGTTGTAAAAATTCAGGTTTCTGAAGATTGGAAGGATAACCATATATAGAGATGGTTAAATAATTTATACAATTTTATGGACAGAATAACGAACCATGTAATCCTATTTGATTTCATAGAATTACCATAATTGAAAAGGGACACACAATATAGAGTTTTATGTTTGTAGACAGTTCACTTATGGTCAGCAGATCCATTCAGCAATCTGAATAAATTAGGTGCAATCCATGACACTACAGTTGGAACTGGTCTATTAGAAACAAAGATCTATACCTTGTTCATAAATATTCAACAGAAACAGGATTGTTTGATTGTGACTCATCCAAACTTCAATCCTCACCACAGCAACAAGGTGATTGTCAAAGCTAGTTCAGACTTTCTACTTACTTGTTGGTCCTGTAGTTTCATTCCAACTACTCGGAAGGTATTGTTAGAGGTGTTGTGATAGATGTTGACTCTACTGAACCCTTGTTGTCCAGGTTTGGCTGGGACCCACTTTTTGCTTGAATCATCATAGACCATAACTGAGGCCCGCGCTTGGCAGATGCTCTGTTCACTGAAAAAGAAGATAGCAATTAGCCATTTGAGGAAGCAGAACTCATACAATTATTAACACATAACAGCATGAGTCCAGGGATGGAGCTGAAGTACTTTTCAATATAAGCTGCAAAAGATGACAACTGTAATACCACTGTTTGGCTGTGACAAGAGAACAAATGGATTTCACCATAAAGTATTTCAGAATGGCCAGTATATCAGTCAAATATCTGAATGTTTCCCCGCTACTTTAAGAGGATCATTCCACCTGTGAAATGGGTTCCTTTAAAAGGATTTTTACGCAAGTATTTCAAAAATACAATGCTTTATGTTTCTGCAAGTCCAATAGTCAATGGCCTTATTGCCACATCGGGATAAAATGAAGCATGTACGTTAACAAGCAATAGCTTATGAAGACAATCTCATCTTTCCTGGCTTGCGTCAGCATAAATCAATACGGTGTTTGCATCCTTTCACTCTTTTTTACAACATATAGCATTTAAAATTGATTCTTGGTTGAACTGCATCCAGTTGCTGCTATACCTTTAATCAGAAACAATGTACACCGTGAAATTCACAGTGTGGAGTCTTGTAGAGGTCTAAAGCAAGCTCTGCAAGCAAATTGGCTGTTAAGAATTTTTGCTATGGAAGTCAGAAAGGTTACCTGGCGACTTTAGTTTGCTACTTGCTCCGAAGAACCTCTATGCTGGGCACAAAGCACTGACATTTCACAGCACAGTCCATGGGCACCAGACACATGCACCCAAATCCACTGACATTGGCATTTGATTGTGCCAGCCCGGTACATCTATACATCAATGCTCCACTTTGGGTGCAACAGTAACTATCATTGTAATGCTGCAGTAAGGATGTTTCATGCTCAGGGACATGCACCGAGCTCATAGACTTGACCAGGCTGCATCTCTGGGCTGTTTATCTGCACTATTAGTACTCATTCACTACGAGCCTACCTTGATGCTCATTGCATCTCTGCCTTATCTTGCTTTTTTGCACCCTCCGTGAAACTTCCTTTGAAACTCAACAAAATTGACACTTAGCTCAAAAAGGCATAAGATTGAGCCCACTGTCTCTATTATTGACGACTTCACCACAAGCCAATTTATCCATTTTTACAGTGAAAGTATAGTCATTTTATTTTGTTCACCTATTCAATGCTCCTAATGCAGAGCGGAAAGAAAAAGGGAAGTGGAGGCTGAAAATCTGCACTGAAAGTACGTAGCCCTGTGTCTGACTGCACTGCCCTTCAGCACTGCTTCCCACTGGGAACAGCATTATAAATTTACACGTGTGTACCTAGCTGGCTTTATCTGGCAGTGACAGGTGGTTTTGTGGTCAATTCAAGATTTCTGGTCAGGAAGTAAGCCTCTGTGTAGAAAGTGAAATCTTTCCTTCCATTCTAATTTGACCATAACCCCATCAGAATTTAGAATTAGAGTGAGCATGAACCTAGACAATCAGTGAACTTAGATTCAAGAAAATAGTATTTCACCATTTATGGAAATGTCATAATCTACACATAGACTTAAAAACTTGGTATTTGGAACTGCAGTGATGAATGCTATAAAACCAACATCATTGTATTGGTATACTGGTGACAAATTTGCAGAATAATCAGATGTGGATTCATGCTCGTGAGTTCCAAACTAGGAGTTTGCCCTCCATAACTGGATAGTAGTGGGGAAATATTTAACAGAGTGCATCGAAGGTAATTTTTGATGGGTTGGCTTTCGATCTTCAAACATATAAGGTTATGGGTAGGGCTCCAATCCCTATTAGAAATGGTATGTGATGTGGGAAGATGCAGCAGCAACAGAGAAAGGGTTATTTAGCGAGAGAAAAAGAGAATTTACTTTGCACCTCATAAACCTTCTTTGGATAGTCCAAAGAACTTTTGATAAAATTTGTATCTTTTGAGGACCACTGTTACATGTGAGGGATAGATATTAGCCATGATGTCATGAGCACTCCTTACTATTACTCAGGGTCATGAAGTTTTACATTCACCAAAACTAAAACACAAAGTTTCTGCGTAATGCCTCATTAAAAGCATAGCAGCTGACAATGTGGCACTCATTCAGGAAATGTTCTTATATTCAACCAATATCGGATGCTTAAGACCTAGACAGCAGCTTGAACCCACAACTCTCTGGCTTAGAGATAAGAATGCCACCAACTCAGACAAACTCCAAATAGAAATAAAATAATGCTTTAATTATCTTAAAATTAGGAACAAATACAGTTGCAGAATCGCACGACTTTCTATTTCAGGATTCAGAAGGTGTAGGATTTGCACTTAGCACATCATTTTTGTCAACTCACGAGAGAATAGAGTTTCAATGGGATAAAAGTGAACAGCTGAAATAGCCTGTAGTGCAGATACCAACGATAACACCATATCATGCTTGATCAGCTGTTTCTGAACAGCTTTCCCCAGACAATCGTGGGAATGAGTTTCAAAGCTCTGCCTGCAAATGCTGAAAATTAGCAAACGGTCAATTTAAGTGAAAAGATATTGTCAGGAGATAATACAACAGCATCAGAAAGTCGTGAAATCAGAATAAACATGATTAACAAAAATAGCTTGACCTTTCCATCAAACAAAGCTACGTTTGTGATTTAAATCACATACATTTAACAATGAAAACAATATTCACATCAAAACTTGAAGAAAACATTAAGAAAAGCAACAGCTTATGCTTAGTATATGGTTAGTGTTCAAAGATGCAGAAGATAATGCCAGGCTTCAAATGTTTTTTTTTGGCTGATTTTATATATATCTAAATAATTAATGCAAACCCATAAGTTAATTCCAAGATAGAGTTCCTCTACATTTTCAGAAAATTTGTACGTTGAGGTCAGGATATTCACATCATTATATATTTTTATACATCCAGCACAATATATTAAAGCTTTTTTTGTGTCTATGATGCCTGGAAATTATTCTTTTCCACATGCTATTAACTGATTCCAAAGTAAATATTTCAGTGATACAGATGGCTCTTCAATTACTGAAAATTCCCTCCTGCCTCTTCCATACCTTCCCTGTGCCTCATTTCCCCAATGTCCCATATTCACCCTCTCCATAATCCATGCTAGACAAAACCTCTATTTTCCTGCTAGATGGCTCATCCCTTTTGATATCTCCTATGCCTACTCACAAAATATCTAATACAGACAGAATACATGAGTCCTATAATTACACTGGGAACCTTTGAGATGCTCATGAAAATGTCAGAGTAACAAACACACATTCGAGCTCCACTTAATACAATAAATTCCTCTCAGGAGCTCATAAAACTGTCAATCTAAAGAGAAATCATGTTCTAGTTTCTCAACAGATGATGTCTGACCTGCTGAGCATCATTAGGGTTTAGAGTTTATGTTTCAGATTTCCAGCATCTGTAGCCTTTCTAAAAACCACACAGTTCTGTTCATTTGACAGAATCATCTTAATATTTCAATTACATAATTTTAAGAGTATGATATATTATGTATTGCAATTTTTCTTCTAGTTTCTCTTCTCCTTACCCCAACTTTTTATAATCATTTTCACATCATAGGAAGCCAGCTGCCTTCACTTTCAACCTTCCAACATGGCTCAGTTAGTTACCCAGCACTATATTTATGTGACCAATTTATTATCGTCTCAGAGTGGTTGAGCATTTCAAGAACTGAAAGTCTCTTTAAAATGCAAGGATCTAAGCTATCATCTGATGCATAAAACTGCTCAGTTCATTAACATAAGACAGCACAGCAACAACTAGTACAGAACTGTGAATTGCACACAAAGGCGGGGAAATTCTGTTTAGCAACTTACAATGACTGTTCCTTTCACATAACCAATAACTCAAGCTGCTTTATAGGAAGACAGGTGAATAGTGGGCCAGGGGTTGCACAGAAAGCAGTAAAGGAATTCAAAAGCAAGGAGAAGGTTGTGATGATGCATTTGAGGGCAGAGAAAGATGCAGCAAGGTAGATCAATCTAAAGTAGTTCCATTATTTTTCTTTTTAATCGTAATCATTCTTAAATCATTCCTGTAAATGTCTTATTTAAAGAGTGAACTGAACAGGATTTATGAAAGAAATATATGGATGAACTCAATAACTGCTGCTATGTGTTTGAAGTTGATGGCCTGAATCTTCTGAGCAGCAACAGTCACTGTCAGTTTTCAGTTCTGCTCCTGGCTTTTTGAGTGCCCCAGGTGCTCTGCATTTCTGACCAGGTCTTTAGTTGCTGGTCTCTTCAGAAATCTGGAGTGTTCTTCCATCAAATAGCATCCTTGTAGCTCTGGATCATCAGGGAAAAACAGGACAAGCGACTTTTTTTTACTGCATTAGCTGCTGTATTCTGGTAAGTGTTCATTCACAAACACACTGGACAGCTTTGGGACATTTAAACAGCTTTTCAGTGTGTTACTGAATGGATAGGCAGGATTTAACTGGCTCTGAGGGACGTGGGCTACGGTGGTTTAAGAGGTAGAATCGGAAGAGATGGGCACCTGGATGTCGAGATCGTCTCGCTGCAACTTCCCTACTTTGCTCAAGCAGTCTGGCCAGTTTCTCACCAGGGAGCAGCGACTTCTCAATTGATGCCTCTTACTGCTTCTTAAATGGCTTGTTAACAGTTCGACTGTCCCCGGCTTGTGATCTTACTAAACTTGTCATATAAACCGGCCATCAGGAAAACTTGACATGGAAACCACAGTGTGTTCTTGGCAGATTCAATTCACCGCTTGCCCCAAAAGAACTCCAAGGATACTGGGCGCCAACACCTCAGGCACACTCCATGGTCACCAGCCTCATGCACTCCATGTTCAAGGACAGTGGCATCCAACATGTGCCAATCTCTATAAATCACCATGGCACATCTCCAATCCACTTACGGGTTATTCTGCACTTCAGTACCTCACTACAGGCTGCACTGGCAAATATCACTGCAAATGCTGCAGCATAGTGCTCACTCACACCGAGCCTACCTGGATGCTCACAACATCCCTG